AACAAACAAAAAATCTGAGGTTTAGATTTACACCCAAAGGGGTTTTTTGACATTTTGTGTTTACCTTTATTTATTAAATATCAAGTTTTTTACACTTAAATTATAAATTCAGTTCAACAGCAATTGCAAGATAATTAAATGAGCATATCTTCAGATTCCCTATTCATTGTCTCACACGCCGGAGATAAAGTGTCTTTCTGTACAACATTTCTTTGCTCGCTTTGAAATCCTCAGTTGTTAATCAAAATCATTAAAGTTTTACAACATATAAAATCTAATTAAACATTCGAATTTCAAATTCGGCTTCCAGATGTCCATATTCACATAGAATTAATCATTCAAAATTTGATGCTCTAATACGTTTTTTATCAGAATACAAAAACATGCATTTATGCAGATTCTTCACTATTTAGGGTAATATTTGGTGCAACAATTTGAAATGATGCAGCCGTTTATGTGTTTCAATGCAAACGAAACAATAGTCTTCAGGGACAAACCCCTTGGATTAAATGCCAAACTAAACATAATAAATCCACAAATAACAACAACTTCCGGTCTCTTTTCCTACCTGTGGTGGTTTTTAAATTTGACTCTATTTTTTTCAGCATTTTCTAGATTATTTTTGTTTTTTTTCTAATATTTAAAATTTATTTCCAGCTTTCAAGGGATCGATATCTCCATAATCTCGATGAGCAATTTAATAATTTAATACAGAATTTTCAACTATTGATGAAATTAATTAATTCCTTTACAAAAAATTACTTTATAACATTTTAAATGTATATAAGGAACCATTAAATTATACATTTATCACTACATCCAGAGCCTTCACAATAGATGGATTTCATTGCAAATGAGGCTAAGGCTGTTCTGCAAACAACTGAAATGTACACAAAAATTTGTAAATGCTGAATGAAATTATTACATTCCTTTTACCCCCCCCAAAATTAATAGAAACGTTTTGTATAAGCAAGCAATTTAATTACACTAATTATCTACTTACATGAGATCCTTCACAAATAGATGGCATTTTATCACATGTGAGTTGAAGCTTGTTCTTGCAAACAAACCTGAAATAATATATATATAAGAAATTTAGAAATACAGATATATAAACTACATTCATTTTAAGAAATAATTATTTTACATAACATTTTATAATTCATAAATAGATAAAAAATTTTTAACACTCAAATCAAAAATAATTCCATAGCACAACAGCCAGATATAGTACAGAGCAACCATAGACACAATTTCATTTCAAATCGTATAAAAATTCATAATATGTAAACATATGACTTTAATAGCTGCCAAATGAAACATAGCATAGATTCTTTACTGCACTGTTATTTAATCAGAAGGTATGCTAAATGTTGTGCAACACACCTGAGATGTACTGTACGCACACATTTGCAACCACTGGGAAATGAATAAAGTGCATGATTATGAAGATGGAAACATTTAAAATACTCAGCAGCAAATTTATTTCTCCAAAATAAGCTGAAGGTTGTGGCAATGAGCCTAAAGAAATATAATATATGAAATATGTGGAGTGAAAGAATTAACTCTGATTGGATAAAATAATACAAATCATTACATTTTAAAAGTAACTTCAACTTATAAAAAGCATAAATACAGACTGTTCATAGCATTCAACTTCTTAAACATAAGTAAATATTACATTAATATATTTTTAATTTTAGAAACATGTTAATATTTTTAGAAAAAGTTTATAATACTAAATATTTAATAACCGTTCAAATGAAGACTTACAACAGTGGTTCAGCAACAGAAATCGCTTCAGTTGATAAAGGTAAACTGTGCAGCAAGCCACCCTGAAGATGCAAAAATTATGAAACACATATAAGTAAGGATACCTGAAAATGCTGATAACAAAATATACTTAATGTAATTTTAATAATAAATATATAATAATCCTAATAAGTTTTGTAAATCTTTAAACAAAAAAAACAACATTCAGACATACATATAAGACATTAAAATAACATTTAAATCAATGTATTTAAACTATATTATTGTATTACTCAAGATTAAAGTTATTAATTTCAATATTATTTCTTTTACTTACTCCATACATATTTCCCTCTATTTATCTGAATTTAAAATTAGCAAAAAGCAACTTTAGTTTAATACAAATTTTGATTTAAACTCTTTTGACTTTGAAGGCAATCAGATAAGGTTTCTTCTTTTTAGGAGCAAATTTGAAGAAACCAGACCCATGTATGACTGTCCCTCGAAAAACTACAAAAACTTTATCCAAAACCTACTACATCAAATTGAGGTTTTATGCCTAATTTTCAATATATGATTATAATAACAAAGTACATACTTAATTATATATATAAACAGAAAATTTTAATTTTAATCTAATCTTAGGGACTGTAATTACAGCTTTATCACATAATGCCTTAATTTCAATATTTTGATTCTTTTATAAAGCAATTTAGTCCATTTGTAATAAAAACATATTTTTCTTATGAAAAACCATAAAATAAAAAAACACATACATTACAAAAATTGGATGTAACTGAACGGTGCTTTGGTAAACCAATGCCTTTTAGACGCTGTGGGGTCAACAGTTGTGGGGGATTAGGCACATTGAAAAGAGTTGGCACAGCATTGGGCTTGAGTTTTTTACGCCCATCTTGCCTAGAGCATTCAAATTGATTTTCTTCAAAATGTACCTGCATATTTAACAAAAGCATGCATGAAATTTAACATTAAAATCAAAAGCACTAGTATTTAATTACAGTTACATATATTATATTAATTTAAGAATGTAATTTTCTGATAAATTAAAATTTTTTTTTTATGAAAATAGAACAAAATTTTTAAAAGTAATCATGTTGTAAACTACTTAAAACATATTTCCTGCTCACACACTAAAAATAAATTTAAAGTACCTATAGTTAAAAATATAACATTAAGATTTACTACTACAATAAAGGATAATAATGGGATCAAAACGATTCATCGAACATTTAAATTAATATTTAACTTCTTAAAAATGTCTAAAAATACAGAATATATTTATCTTACTATAAAGAAAAAACAAAATCATTTATTATTTGGATCATACCATCCAGTTTTTAACATTGGCGCCAACTATCTGATTTGGCGACAATATATCAGAATCAAAACATAGAATGCTACTTTAAAACACCAATCGTACAGTAAAATTAAAGAAAAAGGCACATCACATTTCTAACTGAGCACAAAGTTTACATGAAATGTATGATACAAATTTTACAAACGGTATAAACTTTTCATGATAACAACAGAAACAACATGAAACAACGATGATAAGGCACTGCACAAACACATACACATTCCGCAGTTGATTTTGTACTTCTAAAATCAGTTGATCGTCAATAAGTGACAGTTAAATGAAAATAAATATTTTAAAGTACCAAGAAGAGTAATTTTTCTAACATTCTATGGAAAAATACGAAGCTGAACTTACCTCACAAAGATACGCTCCTGGGCCCGGGGATCCATTCATCTCGACGAGAATTAACTATCCATTTTCTTCGTCTTTCTTCATTTCTAGGGAAACGAAACCATCCTAAAGTTATTTTTAGACAGATTCAAACAATTTGGTGCAGCACAACCACCCATATTTCTGAAAATTAGGTCGGAATCGATCCACAAATATGTCAAGAAATCAGTGCTAATCCAATAGCGAATACCAACAAGTTAGCTTCAAAATGGATGATGATTCAGCTCCCCTTTATAGTAGCCTTAATTCAAACTGGTGTCAGTGGCCTTTCGCGGTAAATATTTAAGAAATAATCCCCTTTGCATCAACACCTGTAGGCGAGAATTTTCACGATAAGCATACGATCTTTAATTTAGAAGTCAACAACAAAAATCAGAGTTATATTTTGAAATTTTCACAAGACTAGTTTCAATGGTTTTACGGAACCATCATCCTCAGTTGCAAAAGCGCAAATGAACGAAATAAGATATAATGATTAGATAAGATAAGAAAGACTGGACAGGAGTGAGCTACTGGTGCCATCTGTTGATGAAACAATAACTAAAATATAATTTCTTTAAAGGCTGAAGGCAAAGATGGATTGGAATTAGCGTCGTTAATTAGAACAAAAAGATTTTTTTATCCATTTTTCAATCTATCTTGGCCTTCAGCCTTTAAAAAAGTTATGTTTTAGTTCTCGTTTTATCAACAGATGGTGCCAATAGTTTAACTCCTGTCCAGTCTTTTTTATCTTATCTAACCACTATATCTTATCTCATTCATATGTGCTTTTGCAGCTGAGGATGATGGTTCGGTAAAATCATTGAAACTAGTCCTGTGAAAATTTGAAAATATAACTCTGATTTTTGATGTTTGACTTCTAAATTAATACTTGCTCGGCGTGTTATTGTATCTTAATTATACGATCTTTCTTAACTAAGGCAATGAGATAGCAATTTTTATAAAGCGATCCGGTAATCTCTAAATGGCATACCCAAGCAATCAATCTTTGAACATGAAGCAAGTACAGGTATAAGTAGTCGTTAAAGCAATTATTGAATGGCAATTTGTGTACTAAATATGGCAATGCAATCTCGTAAAAGTAAGCAATTAAGGCAAGTCAAAAAGCAAAAGTTCAGGTAGAGTTCGATCTTGGTGGTAATAATGGCATTAGCATAATCTAAAAGTGACCGAGATTCTGTCGCAGGCGAAGTCGTAGCTCTGAAGCTGCGTTCACACAGACGAGGTCACGCGGTCGCGCGTAAAGCGTTAACCAATCAGGAGTGAGTTCAGAGGCGGCATTTGTCGCATCTCCGGAGGCCGCGTGAGTTGACTTAACTTCAACTTTTTGACGCTCGATGCGTCAGTTTCAGGCAACTCGTTTCAAAAGTCCGGTTTATACCATGGTTTTTAAATGATTGCACTTTCAAAAATTCTTCTCGATATAAAAAAAAGGTCAAATGGACTAATCTTAATAAAAAGTTCAGATAATAATAAAAAAGATGCAGAAAATTTCTCAAGTTTATTAACAGTAAGCAATAAACTTTAATAATAAACTATAAATAATATATGGGCCCACCAGGCGGCCGAGCGGTAAAGTCGCTGAACACTGGTAGTTCGGGTCCGAGGTTCGAATCCCACGAACGGGCAGGCTGCATGGGCGTTTTCGTGGTTTTCCCCATGCGTAACGTGTATATGAGCCAGTTTCCCTTAGAAACTCCTCCACGAAAGGCATTCCGACCCTTAGGCAGATAGCCCTCGAGGCTTTGCCATAATCACACATACATATACATAAATGATATATGATTGATAGCTTTTACAGAATAATCTAAAGCAATAGATTGTTGCAAGAAAATAGTGATGGATTTCGGAATCCGAGATTTTAAATTTTTCTTAAAATATATCTACATCAATTTAAGGTTGCTCTTGTTGCCTAGTGGATAAAACGTTGGCTTCTTGAGTTAAAGGTTTTGGATTCAAGCGTCACCAGGAAATGATGTTGTTACTTGAAAAAAAAATGTACAGAAAATATTGAAGAAAGGAGCCGAGAGGTGAAAAACTGATACCTTGAGAAGAAAGTTACGTGATAGTTAAGACGTTTTAAAAGAAACCCGTGCTGTTGTACGGGCCCCGTATTGGCCCATAGGCCAAATCCCCGTAAAAATCCATAAACAGAAACCCGTATAACTGTACAGGTACCCATAGGCCAAATACTCATAAAAACGTATCATATGATGCTTTATAAATACACACACAAACAAACTATATCTTATCTCGTTCATTTGTGCTTTTGCAGCTGAGGATGATGGTTCGGTAAAATCATTGAAACTATATCTTATAGTTTGTTTAATAGCTAAGACGTCTTAACTATCACGCCAAATCCCCGTAAAAACCCATAAAAAGAAATCCGTGCTGTTGTACGGGCCCCGTATTGGCCCGTAGGCCAAATTCTCGTAAAAATATATAAACAGAAACCCGTATAACTGTACGGGTACCCACAGGCCAAATACTCATAAAAACGTATCATATGATGCTTTATAAATAAACACACAAACAAACTATATCTTATCTCGTTCATTTGTGCTTTTGCAGCTGAGGATGATGGTTAGGTAAAATCATTGAAACTAGTTTCAATGATTTCACGTTCCCGTGCGTTTGAAATAAAGAGTTCGCTAATCGAAGTATCTCACCTGTTCTTGTTACCAAATAGATCTCCAAAACTGGAAGCCCGGTTCGGGGAAGAAAAGCATGTTCTTTGGAGATAACATGTTACAAAGTCCTATTAGCAAATATCACAGATGTCCATTAAAAGAAGTGCACTGTAAAAAAGAAATCTGTAAGGTTACTAAGAAAACTCATGGAAACTGAGATGCCATGGGTTATTTGAGTAACAGAAACAGGTGTTTTCTTTGTAACATTACAAGAGTTTTGCCTGTAATGGTTACAGATCTTTTTCTTGTAATATCACAGCATATAGTTATGTAAGTAGAACATATTTTTCTCATGTAAATTCCCAAACGATATATCTGTAATGGTTACAGATTATTTGCGTGTAATATTACAGCAAATAATTATGTAAAAAGAACATGTTTTTCTCATGTAAAATCTCAACAGATGTATCTGTAACCGTTACAGGTATTTGCTTGTATTATTATAGCAAGTTATTATGTGAGTAGAAAATACTTTTCTTAAGTAAAATTCCAATGGTGTATCTGTAAAGGTTTCAGATTATTTCCTTCTAATATCCCTTAAGTAATTATGTGTGTAGAATATATTTTTCATAGATAATACTAAAGTATATGTCTATAAAAGTATAGATTTTTTTGTCTAAAATGATGCTATTATAATAAAATATATTGAAATCAAGATTTTTGAGTAAAACAAATCTGCATGTGTATCTCATTATACAGTATATGCAAGTGAAGCCTAATAGTTTGGCTTTTTAAATTAGTCAATTTGACCTCAGAATAGCATTAATTAAAAGATGCACTTTCAACAGCAATGTTCTTTTTTCAAAAAGTAACATTAGTCTGTTGCAGAGTATTTTTGTTTTATGAAGAGAAACTTATGTCTGATATTATTGAAAGGCCCCTTTCATATTATCATTTTGACTAATTTAAAAAGTTCAAATTGATATGCTACTCCTTATATTTGCCCTTGTAAAATAGCTGAAAAAATAGTATGTTTTATTTGCATGTTTTAGTGTCAGTTAATAAGATATGTTCTAGAACTTTCTTTTAGTAATTTTAGCTAAAATAGACACATGTTGCTTAGATTTAACTTATATGAGTAAACGTGTTGCATGTTGATATGGTCATATTATTACAGTAAAAGATATTTTGTGAAATATTTCTATGAAGAACTCAGAACAGCTGTTCTTCATATTTCAAAAATATATTCTCTCCTTCTAAAAATGACATTCAGTAAGTTAAAGAATTCAACATGGCAATGAACTTCATTTTGTTACTACAAGAATTCAAATTTTGTTCATACGCTTGAATTACAACGTCTAACTAATTTTTTTTATTCTTATCTGCACTCAGTGTTTGTCAACAGTCTGCTATTGTTTGAAATAATGCATACTTTTTTACTTACCTTCAAATAATTTCCTTCAATAAAGATAAAGTCTTTCATTAAAAACCTAATGTCATGCTTTTGAATAAGCATAAAACTTTGCCAACTGACCTAATTTTTAAGCTTGTTTCCCTTAAAATTCTTAAACAATTATGCCTTTAAGGTGGTCTACTACAGCAGCATTACAATACTAAAATTTTTTTACACGCAGAATCGCTAATTAAGAAACTATGTTGCGTGCAATTTGGCAGAAATATAAAGCAATAGGTCAGTTTTCGAATCACAATGTTAGAATCAGGTTTGAAATGAAATTTACTTAAATATTATATTTTAAAAAAATTAGTTTGAAATACGTAATTTTAATGTGTAGTTTGGAAAGCCATCAATAGATGGCGCTACGAGTTAAAATTTAACATTGTAATCTTATTTCTGCAAAAATTCACGAAGTAATTGATTTTGATATCAGTTATAAATCATATTTTTTTCTAAATAATATTTAGAAGCGTTTCATATATTCCTTTATACACAGTTTTCACTAAACATTGTCAGCTGTCAGCAGAATGACGTTTACGGCAACCCTATTGCATTGCTATTCCGCACTCGTTTTGTTTACATTTATTTGTACTGTGGTCAGTTTGCAAAAAATATGCGAAAATATCAAGGACGACCGAAAAAAACATCCTGGTTTTAATAAAAGATCCAGAATTCAGCGTAAACGTCGAGCTCAAGAAAAAAATATGAAATTAAATTCCCGAGATGTGGAAGATTCCGAACAAGCGGATGTTTTCGAAAGGTGAGAAATAATTTATTCTTTATATCGACTACCTCGTGTTTATGATTTCGTAGTAAGTTAATTCCGAAGTAAAATATGCGTATTTTTTTTATTGAAGGTCAGAAATTATTGATACAACTGCATCTGTGTCAAAGGAGAATCATTGCCCGGATGATTTTTTTACAAAGTAAGTTTTTTTTTGTTTGTGTGTGTTTGTGTATGAGGGGATGCTAATAATTGTTCAATCCTGTTATAATAATTTATTCCTCCATTCACACTAAATTGTTGGGAAATATTGAAAGGGTAAATTCCAATTCACAAGGAATTGCTGAAATAATTGAATCTTTTCAAAAGTATGAGCATGTTCTTGCGATCTAAATTGAATTCACCATCATTACATGTATTATTGGAAATTTTATAGTCATATGTTTGCTACGAAATGCTTTGTCAGTTACCTATGGTATATTTTAACAGGTGTATGCACATTTATTCATGTGCTCGCTGTTCAACTTGCTTTTTTTTTTATTATGTCATTTACTTGGATGTTAAAACTTTCTTTTAGCGTTGGAACATTTTATGATCATTTAGTAAAATTTATATATAAATATATATTACTTGCTTGTTATTTATGGTTCTGTGTATTTGTCATGTATGCATGTTGTGAAGTGTAGTTTTTGAAAAATATGTCACAGAATGGTTAAATTCCACCAAAAGCTGAATTGAATTGATATTGGGATGCAGGTAATTAGAAAATATCTGCTGTGTATTTTGAGCGTAGAACCAAACTAGTGCCAAGAATGGGACCAATACGCTTCATGGCTTGCTTTCTAGCCTTTTTGCCATTGTCCAAATTGAATTATCTCCAGTATAAAGGGGGAGTGATGAATGCTTTCTCTGTATAACATTAAAATATCTGTCTGATCAAAAAATCTACCAATAAGAAACTTTTCATATGTTATGTGACAGACTTTCTGCAAACAGAAGTCCTCAGCTCTGTTCTTGTACATGTTTTTTAATTGTGGTTCAGATGTGTACTTCTCAAAGGAATTCTTCTCATAGGAAGATTATCTGAACATTTAAAAACTATATTCTGCTTTTAGGGGCCTAATATTTTATGCCCCTAAAATTAATATTGAAATTTCTAAAATGTTGAAAAATATGTCATCTGGATTCTGTACAAAAATATAATCCCTTTTTCATTTCTGCATTTGCAATTCCTGCATTTTCTTTATTCCTACATTTTTTAATTGGAAGGAATTTCATTCGCAGAGCCCTCTAATTTATTCTTACAAATCATGTAGTAATGTACCATTTTAGATAGATATAAATAACACATTTTGTAATTTTTCTAAACTGTGGTTATACAGCATGATATAATAGCTACACAGGGTATGGCGAAACAGTATACAGCAATATCTGTCGCACTGTCTGAGATGGGTGGTAGTCATACATAGCTTAATGCTTAAATTTGTTATGTGTTATTTATTTATTCATGTTTTTTTTTTTTTTTTTTTTTTTTTAATTATGTTATAGCAGTTTATTTCTTTCATTCTTAGGTCCGGAAGTGAAAAATTTGACTTTTCTACGCCAGAAGTTACAGCTAATGTTCCTAAGACAAACCAGGCTTTCCTGAGGTAAGTTGGTTTATTTTTAAAATAGATATTAGCTGTGCATGATATTACAGTTACTTAATTATGGTTAACTAATTATGTATTAATTTAGAAGTCAAGCAACCAAAATCAGCGTTAATATTTTCAAATAGTGAATATTTCAAAATATGATGCTGATTTTTGTTGCTTGACTCTCAAATTAATACTTGGTCGTGTGTTATTGTATCTTAATTAAACTAATTATGGTTCTTTTCTTCTCAGTTCTGATCTGGACATTTCAGTTATTGACTCTGACGTAGAAGGTAGAAATACAAGCTCTCTTTTGGGGTAAATATGTATTTCTCTATGCCAAAATTAAAATGTCATCATTTATGTTTTTCTTTTATGGTGTTACATTATGTTGTTTACATACTGATAGCTATTAAAACTGTTAAATATAATATTGTAGCTATCAAAAAGAGGGGGATGAATTTGATTTGTACCAAATTTGGACGTTTTGCATGAAAGAACTTGAAAATAAAAGATTTTTTTAAAATTATATTCATTGAAATCAGTGAAATTTTCAGTCGGGACACTGAAGCAAATGAAAATATTTTGGGGTTTGATTCTTTTGATGGGAGCCTCATCAATAAGCCTACTATCTTTTTTAAAATATTGCTTCTTTTTCATTGTTTTCATGATGTTTTATGTTCCCTTCATGAAAGAGATTTTTAATAATTTAAATTTTGTTAATAAAATATAACAAAATGAAATCTGTGATTATGTGGCTGTTATTTTTTCCATATATATTTATTTGAGGAAAACCACAAATTTTATTATTTTTACAGAATTTTTAAGAAAAATATAAGGATAAAATTTTTTAAATAATTCTGATTACTACCTTTGCTTTCCTCTCATAATGTGCCTCAAATTAGAGCAATTAGACAAAAATTTAAGTCGTGATCTTTTTTTTCCAAGTTTTTTTTTTAGGCTTAGGAGTATAAATTGCTTATCCCCACAAGACAGTGCATCTTCTTAGTATGCCATCCTAAGGCTCCGTTCACATGATGGTATAAATGTCATAGACGCATAATCATAAGGCACAAAATGTGGGAGTTCCATTCACACCTGCGAGAGAGGGTCTAAGCCATAGCCAATTAGAGAAGCTAAATTTGTGCATGCATGTATGTGTCTCAGCTTGGTTTTATGTCTCTGATTGGCCGACGTCGGCACAAAGTTGAAAACTTCAAGCTTAATGCCCAAACTAGTTTTTGTGACATAGCAAGGTCTGACTAAACGTTATGACATTTATACAACGTGAATAGAGCCTTAGAAAGCCATTTGGTAACTTTATCCACCATGAAAGAGTATTCTTGAATTCACTGGAACATTTTATACTCAGTGTAGAGGCCCTTCATGTGAAACTCCGGCACACAAATTGTTAATTTATTTCTAGTAATATCTGTAATGCCTAAATTTTCCTAAACCTAATTGCGAATGGGCTGCCTGCATGGGCGTTTTCATGGTTTTCCCTTGTGTAACGTGTATATGAGCCATTTCCCTTAGAAAGTCCTCCATGAAAGCATTCCCTCCTCTTAGGAAGATCAAGTGCTTTGCTGTCATCAAATAAGCCAAATTTGTTGCCTAAACCTAATTTGTAATATTTATATATATTAATTATATATATGTATATATATTGTATATATATATATTTTAGCTTGGAGTCTGAGCCTCTTCAGGAGAACCTTAATGATGAATTTCTGTGTCCTGATTCACCTTTAATTATCGAAAGGGAAGATCGACGAAAGGCAAATCCATTACCATCTGGCAGAACAATTTGCAATATGTCTTTTGTAATAGTGCAGGCTAGGACATTAGAGCAACATTCCCTAAATTGTAAATTTGGAGGATCATTTATTTTTAAAAAAACAAAGTGATTCGACGTGGTCTTGTCACTACATATAACTATGTATGTGATAAAATTTTATGTGGGAAATGGCAACAATTTGTTCTGATATGGAGAAAGTAGCAGCTAAATCAGCTTGCAGTATTAGGTGCGTTATCTACTGGCAGTGGATTTTCACAAGAGGAGGAAAAGTTTAGCATCATGGAAATTCCGTATATGAGCAACTCGACCTTTGCTTCTTGTGAGCGAACTACTGGCAAAATAATACAGGGATGTGCACAGGAAACTATGTCTATGTGTGCTGCTATAGAAGAGGAGAAAAGGCAGGCAGAACTTCGCAATGATAAAGATAATGATGGTTATCACTGTATAACTGTCATTGTTGATGGAGGTTGGTGTAAAAGAAGGCATGGCATGCTATGGGCATGGTTACAATGCTTCAAGTGGCATATCTGTTATTATAGGCATGGTCACCCAGAAATTTTGTTTGTTGGAATTCGCAACAAAGTGTGCCTTATATGCAGTGCTATTGAAGATGGCAAGATGCCAAATAAAGTGCACCTTTGTTGGCGAAATTGGAATGGGCCTTCTACAGGTATGGAAAGCAGTTGCCATTGTGGAAGGTCTGAATTATCTCCAGTGTGTTCACAAAATACGTTGTACTCGACTTGTTGGAGATGGAGATGCTAACACAATGGCCAAAGTGAAAGAAAGCGTTTCATATGGAGGACGGGTGATCAAAAGTAGAATGTGCTAACCATGCTGTTCGAAGATATCGCAGAGCTCTTGAGAAACTTCAGCAAAATACTGCGATTCGCTTCCCGGGGCTAAAGGAATTGCTGCCCGTAAATTGCTGAAAATTAAAATGCCACTGTTAGTCAGAGGTGCTAGAGTAGCTATAAAAGCTCATGCTTTACCTAGCCATTATCAGCACACACAAGAAGCTATTGATGCATTAGTATCTGACTTGAGAAATGGGCCACATCATATATTTGGCAAGCATGATGCTTGTAGTGCTTTTTGTGCAAAGAAAGGTGCAGAGTTGGACAGCACATACAATGAAATTTTTTTCCTCGGGTATGTTGCAAGCTATTGAAGCAGAAGTGGGAAGAGTACTGATATCGTGTAGCAGTACTCTTATTTGGAATGCCACAAATAATCCTGCTGAAAGCTTCATGAGTCAACTGTGTAAAAAACATCTGGTGGAAAAAGAGTTGATTTTTCCAAAGCTGGTGGCATGAACAGGCGTGCGAGTATTGCTGTCATGGCCTATCAAAATCCAGCACAGCAGTGGCAAAAAAATGCACAAAAAGCTGTAACAGGAAGTAGCCCCAGGACTTCCAACTTTGGTTTTTAAGAAATTCTTAGCTTCCAGAAATAAGCGCCATGTAAAACGTCTTGAGGGACGTACGTAGACTTTTTGACACTGAGAAGAAAAAGAGAAATATGAGGAAAGCAGGACATATTCAGCAAGGTGGGGATATTTCTTATGGTGATTTTCCTGAGAAACCAGACCTATCATCAGATGAAGCATATGAATTGGCAGCTAAAAATTTTTTTATATCAATTGAAGTTCCAAAAAAAGATTCTCTTGAGGCCGTAACACGTGGACAGTCATCATCTGAAAGATGGCGTCATGAAAGATCAAGAAGAATATCATCATCCTTTTTCAAAGATGTTGCTGATAGGCGTCCAACAACACTCAGTGCTGCTTTAGTGAAACGTATCATATATAATGATAACGTTTCAACTAAAGCATTAAAGTATGGCTTGGCTAACGAAGCAGTAGCCTTAAATCAATACAAGGAAAAGCACATGGGAAAAAACATCAGACGTTGTGGCCTTTTTATTGATCCTAAATATCCCTTTCTTTGTACTTCGCCAGATGGATTGATAGACGAAGATGGATTACTTGAAATAAAATGTCCTTATACAGCCAGATTCTCAGCAGACTTGTCAGACTTTTTCAGCAAGCCTAATTCTGTTGGTCTTCGGATGGATGCTGATAATAATCTTTATTTACCGAAAAGCCACAAATATTATTTTCAAATTCAAGGGCAGTTATCCATAACAGAGAGGAATTGGTGTGATTTATATATATATGGTGCAGAGAAGATGCAATCACATTAAGAATACCCGAAGACAAAACTTTCTGGATCAGTTTAGTTCCAAAACTCGAAAAATTTTACGTGAATTGTATTCTTCCTGAGCTTGTTGATCCAAGAGCACCAAGAAAAATGTCTCTTAGAGAACCGAAGTATATTGTTGATGCTAGAGCACAGAATGAGAAACAAAAACAGGCCACTGCTTCTGTAAAACAAACACAAGAAAAAAGAGAAATTGAAATTTCAGAAGCAGATAAAATTATTTCATCTCCTAGAAAGAATGCAGGAGAGAAAAGAATCAGGAAACCAAAAATTATTTTTTGATTTGTAATCAGTAACAAGCCAAGCCAGCACCACCGTAACATTTTCTTTCTACGTCTGAATAAAAACTATGCCTGCAACAAAGCATTATGATTAAATCCATACCTAATTAGAATATTACCCCATTTCTCTAAAAAAAATATGTTCAAAAAGTCTCTGCTTTCAGTAATAGATACGTCTGATCAATTCTGCCATAATTCTGTAATCAATACTTGAAGCTAGAATCTCCTGTGCTGCACTGCCATTGCATCTCTTTTCTGAATGTTTCATCATCCACTTCTCATTCTAAATATTCCTGTGTGCTTTCATTTATAGCTGCTAACTTGTTGTGAACATTTTCTCTGCACCACATGTTATATTTTGCAGTGTAAATAATGCGTGCAATCAATATATTTTGGTTTTAATCATCAGTAACTTTGGTAAAACTACATTTATGCAAAGAAGACTTCCATAAAGTCACAGTTCTGTGAAAAAGAAATAAGTTTGATGACCTCTGTCCATAATTCAATAAATAATTTTTTAAAAATAGCATCACCTGTGCTGCACTAACATTGGAAAAAAATTAAAGTCATCTCTTTTCTGAATGTTTCCTCATGCACTTCTGTTTCTAAGTATTCTTGTGTGCTTTGATCCATAGCTGATAACTTGTTGAGAATATTTCTCTGCGCAACATGTTACACCTCTGAACTTAAATACTTGCGTAAAGAAGTATTTTGGTTTGAATCATGTTGTAACTCCAATATAAGTCCATTTCTCCAAGGAAAACCTCCACAAAGTCACTGCTCCTGATTCAGCTGGAAGGACATCCATACAATGATATTTGAGAAGAAGACATACAAAATTGAGTATTGTGGAAAGATGATTGCTTATATCTTGAACGTGGATGATCCACTTGTCTACAAAACTCATAACCATTCTAAAACTAAAAAATAAGGACATCAAATTTCAGTGCATCCTGCTCTCACAAGAGAGAAAGGTGATCATTAGAAGCCTTCCCAGCTCCACATGTTAATGCTGCCTCATGTTGCATAATATAATAATACACACCACTGGCCAATCAATAAGAAACCTTTCAGATTTTCTGAATGCATGCTAGGGATGAAATATCCAAATTTTTTCTATGATGTGGATTATATACTTGGTTAAAATGCCAGTATAAGTAAGGTGTAAGAGTGCTTTCATGATGAATGAAGTAAAATGGGGAAAAAAGGCGGCAGATCGTTCACCATTTGAAAAAGGGGCTTATTGTTGGTGCACATTTAGTGGGGGCATCGATTTCGAATCCTCTCTAAAAAATGTAACTGCAGTTCGAGCATAGTTTTCAAAGACAGTGATCGGCGGTATCTCCGATGAATTGTACGGCAGAACACGGATTCAACTATCACAAATCGTCAACCAAGGCTCTTCCCAACAAATTTCATTAGCTAGAACTATGCGCAGCGAATTGCAGAGGGATAGGAATGCATAGTTTTGGTGCCTGTAAGAAAATCACTCAGTTTCTGCCGACATGCAAGACTTCATTTTCAGTGGTGTCGAGAAAGACACTGGACATCTGAGGATTGGAAATGGGTAATGTGGTGGGATATTACATTATGTATTACATATTAAACATAAGTTATGGGTTACCTCATAACTACAGAAGGTTCCTCCTGTTCGCTGCCAGAAAAGGTTTGAAGTAATCTGCAATGTAAATTACCGACAATACATGAGCTTTGTTCATTTATGGGCATGATAAAATTTTATCGATGCTTTTTGAAAAATGCTGCAGAAACTCAAGGAGTCATACACGAAATGTTAAAGGGTGATAAAAAAAGATCATTGTAAAGTTCCATGCACAGATGAAGGTGTTTAGTGTATTTAATTATGGCAAAGCACACTAGGGCTATCTGCCTAAGAGAAGGGATGCCTTCGTGGAGGACTTTCTAAGGGAAACTGGCTCATATACACGTTACACATGGGGAAAACCACGAAAACGCCCATGCAGCCAGTCCGTTCGCGGGATTCGAACCTCGGACCGAACTACCAGTGTTCAGCGATTTTACCGCTCTGCCGCTGGTAGGCCTGCACAGATGAAGGAATTCACCAGTTTGAGAAGTGCAAATCTGATTTAGTCAATGGTGCCCTTTTGTGTTTCCCAATGGATTACCCTTTGTGTGCAGATACATCAGACTTTCCTATAGGATCAGTATTGCAGCAATTGGAAGAACAAGAACAAGACTGAAAACCTATTGTGTTCTACTCTAAAACATTAAATAATGCACAGAAGGTTTATAGTACCTATGACAGAGAATTCTTAGGAATATATCTTTCTGTCAAGCATTTTAAACATGTATCGGAAGGACGCAAATTCATCATACTTACTGATCACAAGCCACTGTCATATGCATAGAAGCAAAAGAATGGGAAGGCATAACCCAGACAACAACACCAACTTCAGTATATATCGGAATTTTCAACTGATATTCAGCATATTGATGCCAAAGAAAATTTAGTTGCAGTTGAAGTAGTCTCAGTTACTTTACTGGCTATGAAGCAGTAGCAGATGCTCAAGAATATAATGAAGAATTGCAACATTTAATGACAGGTAGTGCTTCACTGAAATTTA